TCACCCCCCCCGGGGGGGATGACGACGCCACAATCCCTTCTCCTCCATTCATCCCTCTGGCTCTTGGGCATGCACACATATGCGCCAGCATGAGTTTAAGCCACCAGGTCCGGGACTCGAACCACGGTCAACTACATGGGAGTCCAGCAACATAGCCATTATGCCAACTGCTGGTCCCTGATTTTCCTTTTTGAGAATTTGATTAAAATGTGTCTTGGTGAAAATCTTTTTATGTTTAATCTTATGGTTAAACGTTGAATAATGTGGGTGCTAGGGATGCTGACACTTAAGTTGAAAATCCATGTAACTTTTTTTTTTTAATTGCCAGAGGTAATATGCACATGCCAGAAAGAGACACAGAGAGGAAAAAGCATCCACCCTTGCACCCTCCATGGAGTGTGGTCACAATGCAGTTCCTTCTCATCCATTTCTCAATCTTGTCAAGTATGTAGGCATGCAAGCATACATGCCCAGCATGTTTTTCAGGCCAGGACTCACACTATAATTGGCCATGTGGAATTCACCTCCCTTAACCACTAAGCTATGAGCCAGTGCCACATATAACTTCTTAATTTTAATTTGCTATAGGGGCATGTGCACTCAGGGGGGTGGGGATGGGTGTGAGAATGCACCCATCTGGGGGGATGGCCATGGCACAATCCCTCCCTTTCCATTTTCCTCTTGTGACCCTGGGCATGCATGCACATGAACCCAGCATGTCCCTCTAGCTTCTGGGTCCAGGAGTTGAACTGCAAAGCTGACTGTGTGAGATAAAGCCACCTTAACCACCACACCACTGGCTGGCCTCCCTTTTTATTCCCCCAAAACTTAACTACTAATAGCCTGCTCTAGCTAGAGCTGGAGTGGAGTGGAGAAAGTGTGTGTTCATTCTCAGCCCCAAGTCCTGCCACCATTCCCGTCCTGCTACCTCTCTGGCCAGTGGCCACTGCCACCCTCAGCACCTGGGAGAGCCAGTTTGTGATTCTGCTGTTGGAGCTGCACCTTGGCTCCGAGAAGGCAGAGCAAATTTAGAGGTTCCTCTCTCCTCACTCTTGTCATCTTCATGCTGTGACCAGTCATCCCTAAAGACAGATGAAGATTGGCTCCTCAGCCCACTTCTCAAGTCCGCTTTGGCAGTGTCTCCATTTGAGTTTCAGACCCAGCAGCTTGAAAATCATGCCAGGCACATGTGTTATGTGCGCCCCAAATCCCAAGAGGAGAATGGAGAAGGGATCGCATTGTGGCCATCCTCCTTAGGTGGCAATTTCCCACATTCCCTTTCTCCCTGTCTGTCTCTGTCTCGCTTTGGTGAGCACATGCACACTATAGCAAAACTCAAAAAAACAAAAGTGATAACTTTGATGAGTTAAAAAAGAAAATCCATGTATAAGTAAACCTGCACAGTTCAACAGTGTTGTTCAAGAGTCATCTGTACATGGAGTTCTTTGACTCTCAAGGATCTGGTTATTCATCTTCTTTAAATTTGGCAAGTTTTTTGTGATTATTCGATTGTCAGAAAAGTCATGGTCTTCTGTCTCTTTTAAACATCTTATTTTGTGTATGTGTTGTGTTCCTAGTTTCATTTATTGTCTGTGTTCTGTTGTATTTCATTGAGCTTCTTTAAGATAATTGTTTTGAATTCTTTGTTCAGTAGTTCATAGATCCCCATTTCTTTTGGGTCAGTTACCTATGGCTTAAAATGTTTCCCTATGGCCTTGCATTGTTGTCTGTTCATTTGGTGATATAGGCACCTCTTCTAGTCTTTACAGACTGGCTTTGCCAGAGAAAGCGTTTTACCAAATAGTCTATCCAGAAATTTTCAGTGGACCACCTGGAGGTGTCTGTAAGTGGGCTTGCTGTTAGAGTCCTTGGTTGGGCTGGTCAGGTACCTGGGTAAGTAGGCACGTACGCCTGGCCTCTGGGTCCATACTGGCTACCCTGGTTCCTAGTTCTATGGGAGTAGGCCTGGAGCCTGGGTTTATGGGAGCCTGCCTGAAACGTGGGGCTATAGGAGCCGACCTGGCATTGGGGTAGGACTTGAGCTTGAATCCCAGGGACTTAAGTGACACCTGGATGATAGGGTAGGCTCAGTCGTGACTCCCCAGAAGCTAGCCTGGCCCCTGGGACTCTGGATACAGGCCTAGGAGTCCCTACAGACTCTGGGAGTGTGCCTGGGTATTGGGTCTCTTGAGGCCATTCTGAAGTCTGAGGCCTTGGCAGCCAGCCTGGTACTGGGATGAACCTATAACCTAAGTTTTTGGGCTGGCCTGAAGTCTGGGGCCTAGGTCAGTGGGGACTGGTTTGGGTCCATGAGAACCATCCTGCAGCACCAGACCAGGAGGACTTTTTTTTTTTTTTTTTTAACTTTTAACTTCACTTTAAATTCACCCTTGATTTTATTTTTTAAGAATTATTTTAACTTTATTTA